AATTTCACAATCGTATCTTAGAGATTAATTAATACCAGAAAAACATGTTGAGGGGATAATCCAACCCTCACATACACATCTTGTACCATTAATCACTAGATATGAACATAGCGATATTTAAAGTTAATAATCTAGAATGCAAATACTCGCACTTAACCCCTAACTAAACGAAACTAGTACGTCGGGCAAAAAATCCAAACGAGGAACCTCCCATATATATCATGTCTCGACTATGCTAAAAGTAAGGTAGTCATGTCTGTTGTATTTACCGTAGCTGATGGTATTAATACTTAAAAATCTAAAACACGAGACGTAGTACGTCGAGCGAAATAATCCAAATAAGGAAACCCTCATGTATATACAGTATGTCTCAAATTGTAGATAACTAAATATTAATCCTGAACTAAGAAATCAAAAAATATAACTGAAAGTAAAGCATCTAATCAGCATAGGTATCTTGTATTCTCGCATAACTGAGTATCTCAATCGAATATCTCAACAATGGGTCGTGGTCACTTTTGGCATCCACCAAACATAACTGAGTATCTCAATCGAATATCTCAACAATGGGTCGTGGTCACTTTTGGCATCCACCAAACACTCAAATAAAAATCCTTTTGTAATATTATTTCAACAATGGGTCGTGGTCACTTTTGGCATCCACCAAACACTCAAATAAAAATCCTTTTGTAATATTATTGTGTCCCTGTGTAAAACAACAGGATAGGAATATCGATTCCTACACAATCTATACAGAAACAAAGACATAGGTTCACTAACCTCCACGCACGCTCGTGCGTGTAACTAAATATAGATTCAAAGACCCCAGCGTACTATCATGCAGATAATAAACATAGGTCCATCGATCCCAGTGCACTATCATGCGGATAATAAACACAGGTCCATCGACCCCAGCGCACAATCATGCGGATAAACAAGTGTCATAGGTTCATCGACCTCTTCGCACGCTTGTGCGGATAAACAAGTGTCATAGGTTCATCGACCTCTTCGCTCGCTCATGCGGATAAACAAATGTGTGTAGTGGAGTGAAATTCATCACGGTCTCATTTGCGGTGTACTAACTCACTAACTCAAAAGTGTAATCGTAACAATATTTTATCATAATCTCCTAAGGATACTCACATAAGTATTACAACATATTCATGACTATAAGTGTAACAATCGAGCGGCTCAAACTCCGCGAACACCTCTCAAAACAGAGCAAACAAACTCCAGAAAATAAGAAATTGGCCAATCTGCCTAGGAAATGATCGGCGCTACTGTTAGTAAAATGAGCGTATCTTTTTCTAGGAAAATTATTTTTAGGAATGACTTCCTGTTTTAAAAACTAGATTCATACATCTTTCAATTGGAACTATCTTGGTTCAGTTTGAAGTTTAATATCAATACCATATTTCTGTTGAATTTGCATACATGTGCAGCAGTTTATTGCAGGATACGTTGTTAATAAAAAGAGTCTATCTTTCTCTATAAAAACTCTTTTTAAGATTGGTTTTCTTTTTTAGAAATTATATTCATATATATTTCATTTGGTACTAGTTTGGTTAAATTTGGAGTTCATTTACTATACCCAGTTTTCATTTAAAATTTATACTCTTGCAACAGTTTCTCTGCAGGACATGTCATTAGTCATTTGAGCATATCTTCCTATAGACAAACTATTTTTAAGAATAGTTTTCTGTTTTTGAAACTAGATTCACATATTTTTCATTTGAAACTAT